CTTACAGCAAACACTTTCCTAGAACCACTTGTGAGAGAGTTATAGGCACCATGGGCTTGTAAGCATCGATTTGCTGTACATGGCAGTCTTTTTAAACCGCCCGATAAAAGTTGGCCTCATTTGTGTTTCTTCTGACATCCCAGCTACCAGGAAAATCGGAGGATTTCCTTGGTCATATGTCATCACAAGGTTGTTCTCGTTGTAAGAAATCCTTTAGCTCTGTAGACGGCCTCGATTTCAGCGGCTTTGATCGTGAAAATTGGATCCCTAGAACTTCCAATGAACATAAACACTCTGCAAAAAGAACTTTGGATGAAACTAGCTATACAGCTCAACAGAAACTTTGCTCTCATTTAGGTGCCAGGTACTCAGTTCTACAAGAGCAGGACTATTTTGACTGTATACGTTACTTTGTGGTGGATCTTATGCATAATCTCTACCTTGGGACAGCTAAACATATGATGAAGAATGTGTGGCTTAATGACAAGAATGAATTCTTATCTGATGAGGACTTTGAGAGAATCCAAGAACTTGTTGATTCAATGACAGTACCCCAAGATATTGGATGCATACCTGGAAAAATTGCTTGCAGCTTTTCAGGGCTTTACAGCAGATCAGTGGAAAAACTGGACAGTTGTTTATTCTTTGTTTGCCCTCAAGGGAGTTCTCCCTGAAGACCACCCTGAGTGTTGGCGCCATTTTGTCCTTGCTTGTAAGCTTTTGGGAAAGAAAATTCTGACAGATGATAACATTGAACTTGGGGACAGACATTTAATGGAATTCTGTAAGAAATTGAGAGATTGTATGGCATGGATCTGGTGACTCCCAACATGCATCTCCATGGACACCTTAAAGAATGCCTTTTAGATGATGGTCCATTTCACTCTTTTTGGTGTGTCAGTTTTGAGAGGTTTAATGGTGTCTTGCGTTCTTTTCACACAAATAACCGCGTAAATTTTTGTCGCAGACTAAAGTAAAGGACTTTAAATACCCGGAGTTGTTTCAAGACACCTTTATGGAATTCTTTGAGAGAACACATTCTTCAGGATCAATGAAGGATACACAAGAGCCAATCAAGCTGTACCTCAGTCTCCAGCAACATAGGGATTTATCAGTGAAAGACTTACAGTCATGCTATTGGACAGCAAATGAGAATGTTGTAGTAATGTCAGCAATGAAAGATTAAGCATTAGACAGTGAAGACTTGCATGCACTGGGGCCAGTTTACAAGTCAGTTAAAGTGGAATCTGTATTGTATGGATCACAACAAAGCCAGACCATCAGGAATTCGTTTGTTTTGGCAAACTGGGCAGGGCGTGAAGGAACTCTAGCCAGCAACTCAGAATCTGATGATGTCAGACCTGGGCAAGTACTGTTGTTTTTTTGGCCACTGCGTTAAAGTCAAAGCAGTGCAGCCTCATTTGCCAGACAAGCGATACACCTTTTTCATTGCAAGCGGTCAGCGGTCAGCGAGCATGATGGCCGCGTTTTTTGTTGGCTCTGCCAGCCTGACATAATTTCTTACCTAAATCTTACTTTTTCTTTTACAAACTAATCAAACAAGTAACAAACAATGTCTTCAAAAAGAGGAAAGCAAAAAGAAGTTGTGGAAGAGGATTTTGAGGCGTTTGTACGCCACCGGTTGAGTTCAATAAGTGACGACCTAAAAGAAATGAAAGGAACTCAAGTCAAGATTCAAAGAGACATTGAATCTCTACAGGGTCAAATCAAGAAAAATGAAAGCTCTGTACAGTACCGGAAATGATCCCCAACCGCAAATGATCCCGAGACCGCAAATGATCGCCAAAATGGACCGCAAATGATCCTCGACCGCAAGTGATCCCTAAAGTCGACCGCAAATGATCCCGTGAAAACTTGAGGAATGGAATGGATTTTATGGGACTGATTACAAAAAAGGACTGATAATAAAAAAGAAAACTTTTTCTCTCGCCTTTTAAAGAATTTAAAGAAAAAGGGAAGGAGGACGCTACATCTCAGGTCAATTTATACAAGGCGAAAAAAAAGTGGAATAAATCTGAAAAGGAATGGTATTGACCGTATACTTCTTCCTTTGTCGATTGCTTCAATTTTCTTTCAAGAATGTTTCGTCTTTTGAAAAATTTAAGACAGGCAGGACGTTACGCAGAAAAAACTCTATTATTTTAACGCCTAGAAGCTCAACTTTTCTACTGAGGAATACAAAGCCGGGCACCCTCTACATAACAAGAGTTTTATTGACTTTACTGATAGTGATAAAAGTGTTGACAAGCCTACACGACTCCTGCAGTTCGCGGATGAATAAATTCTAATAAAGCCTTCATAGCTTAGCTTTAACTAGGATGTCCTTTAGGGATTTTCCCTTACGGTATGAGATGATGGGGGGCTCCTTAAAGATTTCTCTCAGTTGCGGTTGGTTTTCTATAAGGTGCCATTTCCCCATGAGTGTGTCCTTTAGGTTAGGCAAAGCCGGATGGTATTGTGTTACAAAGGGCAGTATTTTCTTAGGTGCGGTTTTGTTTTTTGCGCTAGCGACATTTTTTCTCTATCAGAGAATTTAATCTTTGAAAGGTGTTTTTTCTACAATTCTAGCTGGGTAATCTCTATTCTGCAGGCGTGTTCTGAAATTACTCATGTTTTCCTCAAAAGTTTGCCTTCACAAATTGAGAGGAATTTGTTCTCAGAAGCCTTAACGGTTTTAAAAGCCTGGTGCTCCTTTTATAAAGTTAGCTTTTTTCGTGGGTTTTTTGAAGGTAATCTTTTCCATTGAGAATTTTTTGTAGTATGCTCCATTTCATACAGTGGTAATTTCTTTTGTATGTTAGCACCCTCCTCCTGGGGTATGTTCGTGTAGAGACTGGTGACGTCCATTGAGACAAGAATTGTACTTTTAGGCAGTTTAATCTTCTCGATGAAATTAAGAAAGTCTGTTGTATCTTTGAGATACGAGGCTTGTTTTTGTGCTATTGGCTGAATGAGGTGGTCAACAAAAGCTGAAATTCTTTCTGTAGGGCCGTCACACCCTGATATGATATGTCTACCGACAGGTGTCGGTTTGTGAATCTTTGTGAGTGTGTAAAATACTGGTATTCGTGGAGGATCGGGTGTAAGGGAAAGCCATTTAGCCGTCATGTCGTCTATGTGGCCTTCTTGAAGTAGTGATTGAATCAGTCGGTGAACCTTTTTGGCTGTGGTGACAACCATAGGGTTTTCTAAGGGTCGGTAGTTATGTATATCGTCAATTTGGACTTGACCCTCGTTAAGTTTATCTGTTCTGTTCATTATGACGGTTGTGGTTCCCTTATCGGCTTTTTTTATCACAATGTTCTTGTCACGCGATAGTTCTTTTAGAGCTTTTCGCTCCCCCTGTGACAGGTTGTCTTTCGGCCTGTTCAATTTGATACTAGCAAGCTCAAATTTGACTTCTTCTAGGAAGGTCTCAAGAGCAACTGAGGGCTGGACTGGTGGGTCCCAGTCTGACTTAACGTGGAAAGGATGAGGTTCTTTATCTGTACCGTGAAATATGTATTTAAGGCGCATTCTTCTGGCAAATTGACTGAAGTCATTGAGTAGCTGGCGCCTGACTTCGTTTTTACTCTTGAATGATTTTTTTTATTCATATATTTATTTGAGAAGTAAAATTTAGCTTTCAATCTGACTCATTGTAATAATAATAAAGTCGACACGATGATCCGCTAACTTGAGTCCAAGCCATTCCTATTTTTCTTTCGGGATCATTTGCGGTCGACTTTGGGGATCACTTGCGGTCGAGGATCATTTGCGGTCCACTTTGGGGATCATTTGCGGTCTCGGGATCATTTGCGGTTGGGGATCATTTGCGGTACTGTACAGCTCGATTTCAAAACTGAAGGAATCTTTGGATACAAAGCTGGAGGTATTAACTGGACAACTGCATGAAGCTAACACAAGAATCGACCAAATCGAGAACGATATCACCAAGTATGCAAAAGAGATCGATGACACCTACGAGAGATTGTTGTCCCTGGAGAGATATTCTAGGGACTACAATCTGAGATTTTACAACATCCCAGAATCAACAGGCGAAGATTGTATTGCAAAGCTCCGTGATATCATAGAAAATGATCTCCAATTGCAATCAAACATCGAGAACGCCCACAGGATCGGCCCTTCAAGGATGATGGCACTCCCAGACCAATTTTGGCTAAGTTTTTGTATCGTCCGGAACGGTTTAGAGTCATTAAAAAGAAGAGGGATCTACGTGATGGTGTGCGCGTTTCGGATGATTTGATATGGGAACACCGTCAAAAGAAGAAACAATTGAGATCTGTTATGAAAGAAGCATTTGAAGCTGGGAAAAGACCTAGATTTCATCATGGCAAGCTTTATATCGACGGTGAGCTACATCAGGCTTGAGATGTTTGAACAGTATACACTTTTGTTTATGTGTAAGTCCCATCTTAAATGTCTACATAGCTTTATAATTATCATTTATCTTAATTTGTTTACTTTTAAATTTCGTCAAGCTAAAACTTTATGCAAATGACCCAAGAGTCCTCTGACCCTGATTTAAATTTACAATTGCTAAATGATCATGGGATTTACACAGTTGAAGAAATTAACGAGTTGTCTCGTACTGTCAAACATCAATACTCTGTTATTCACTTAAATACAAGAAGTTTAAAACAACATTTCGAACAAATGTGCAATCTTCTGGATTCGATTTCACGTAAGTTTGATTTTATCGGTTGCTCCGAGACATGGTTCACCTCTGAAACTGATTATACACGTTTTCAAATCCCAGGTTACACTTTACTCAATGAAAATCGCACCTTTTCGACAGGTGGCGGTGTTGCTTTGTATGTCAGATCAGGCTTATTCTTTCTCAATTAGAAATGACCTCAAAATAGACTCAATTGAAAACCTATGGATAGAAACTAATGATATGATTGTGGGTGTCATTTATAAACCCCCAAATTTTTCAAACCCAGAATTTTTAGACAAACTCGAAAGAACTCTACACA